ATCCCTCTCTCCTCTCGCTCTATCCTCAAGTTTCTCCGACTTTCCACTTGACATCCTTCTTCTCCTCGGTCACTCCCTCCTTTCACTCCTCCTCTCTCCAGTCTTTTAGGGTTAACTCTAACTGATGAGGCCACCGTGCATTGATCGTCTTTGATTAAATGGATCTTCGGCCATCTCGCTCTCTGTGGTTTATTATGAGACCCAGTGTGCTCATTACATTACAGAGAGGCAGAGGGACACGGTTACTGTTGCTACAGTGCTGCAATGCAAATAAACCCACTGCAGTCTGCATTTTAAATGCTAGAATTTCAGATTTGAAAATAATGTTTAACCTTTAACAGACCATATATAACAACCAGCCTGTTTACCATTTACTGTCATCCAGAGATGAAAACCAAAGCATTACAGCTATCACTGTTAGGACCCTGGCGTGGCTAACTAGCATAAGCATAATGCTTAGCATACCATTACTTATCCATCCATCTTCTCCTGCTGATCTGGGTCCGGGTCAAAGGGGCAGTAGACTTAGCAGAGGAGCACAGCACTAGGACATCCTGAAACACCTCATGGCAGAGACAAGGCATCCTGGTCAGTGTGGAGAAGCAGCAGATACCCTACGGAGGGTGTATCTACCCAGAGCTCATGGTAGCATGTGAGGACAGCAGATTAACCATTAAGGCTTTAGTTTCACACTCAGCTTCACCACAGCACACCAGTACAACCAGTCCACATCACCACAGAAAATAAACCTTTACATTTGATTTACAAGTTGTGCTAACAAAAATGTTTAATTAGCTAACTTCAGGTGTCGGTAAGGTATCACAGAGGCATTCAAACTGATATTAGATGATGTCTCTGTATGTGTTTACAAGCAAAGACAGTTTTCAGATGATAAAATATTCCCAAATCTCGTGCAGTGATGTGGTGATGTGGTGATGTGGACTGGCTGTACTGGTCTGCTGTGGTGAAGAGAGAGCCGAGTGTGGAAGTAAAGCTGTGCAGCTATGCTGCTGTGACCAAAAGAATGAGATACAAGTGCAGCAGACTCACTGTGAGCCAGTTTTGACAGGATTGGACAGATAACTGGTCTCAATGATCCTGTTTGTTGGAGTCAGTTTTTACTGCAGGAAACCACAAAAACAGCAGCTGCACAGTTTTGCTGTTGATTTCAAACATTTCATTTAAGAATTGTTATGATGAACTTACAATAAGAGGTTTGTCATGTCACATCTGTCAAATCAGTTCTGATGATGTTTCATCTGGACACACCTTCTTCTTCCCGAGACTCCGTCAATGTCAAACCCAGAAAATGTAGTTTGCTCTCACGAACAGTAGAAACGAATGCAGTGTTCATCTAGGATCTACAGTGAGAGTGGACCGCATCTTTTTCTGGAACAAAGCAATACGCGTCAGATAACTGAGTGAAAATATAACCAGGATAAAAAACACAAACAGGAACCGAGACCAAAATTTCTCAACTTTTAAGGGTGTTTGCTTCCAGGTTTGTACAAAGTATGGATGATGTCAGAAATAATGTCATGAATACTTTTTTATTTATTCCAAATAAACTCCAGACTGCATCCTGTAAACAGAAAAAGATGAATGACTGTCTCATGTAAAACCAGACTGACTCTGTGATTTTTGAGATCAGGCCTCTGTGGGGGTTCTCGCCATCTGCTGTAGGATTTACACCTTTTCTTGTGTCTGCAGAAGCTTCTTTCTGTCGGGCTCTATGTTCGAGACCACAGTGATGCTGCTGAATGAATTCGGATAAGTATCTAAAAATCTAAAGTGCCTAAAACTAAAGCACAGTGTGTATTTGTACTGCTGTGCAGTGTAGTACAGCATGAGCAAAGGGATTAGGAGAAGTAGGTCCTGACTCCGTTCTTCCTAATCTCTGCACTCCCTTTTCACGGCAGCATGCTGTGAGCATAAACATCCAGAGCTTCCCCTCAAAAGGATGAGCAGTGCTTCTGGCAGGTACAACAAGGGAAACGCATCAGCGGGCTTTTAACAGCACACTGCATGTAGTGCGCTGACTTAAGAAGGCAACAAAGTCAAGTTAAAGTGCTGCTTTGTGAGGAGATGTAGGACAAAAACATCCAGTTCACGGTCCTACGTTTCGACAAAGACAAATAAATTCATTTTTCTACACAGACACAACAAGCGTGCCGGAGAAACACTCAGACGGATAAGATGGACGTGACTGTTTGATCACTGATTTATGAAGATGTGTCCAACTCCGAGCTTCCTGAATGAGTGAAAAAAGGCAGAGTGCTTGTGCCTGTTGGGGAATAACAGAGTTGGTCATGATTGTGGGAGTTATTCACAGATGTACTTTTCCAAAACCAACAATCCAGCAAACTGGCCTGCTTCAGTCAGCATTTAGACAGATGTACAGAGAAGAAAATGCAAACGTCTCAATGGAGCCATCTTCGTTTGGAGTGGAACCGTCTGAGAGTACACACCGTTACTCCCCGTAGTTAAATAATTAGTGCTTTCCCTCCTCTGTCATACAGTTGTCGGGTTTCAGCTGACCACTTTAGCCTTTTCTAAAATAAAACTGAACAGCCAAAAGTAGCAGGACGCTGCAGGACATAAAGCTCATGTAAAGATGAGCACAACGCTGATGCAGCCGTTATAACAGATGTGTCTTCAGTGCAGCTGATATGAAGCTTGGCTCAGGTCACCAGATACTTTCAGAGCATCTTTTCTTTACACTTTAAACTCCAGAGGTGACCTCCAGGGCTGGAAATGAAGCCAGCAGCTGCAATTCCTCTACTGTCCACTAGAGGCTCCAGCAGTGAGTCAGTCTCCATAGACTCCCATGTTGAACCTTTGCAGCAGAAATAAGCATGTTTACAGCCTGATGCTGTTTTTGTCTTTATAGATAATTTCTTTCGTCACGACACCTGCAGAGGGACAGAACTCACCTGTTTAACTTGGACTGTAAACAGGATATTTTGAATATTTTTATTGAGCTGCTGGTTTTGATAAACCTGATTATTCCTGGTTGTGTTTAGCTGCTGATGGATTCGTGTGTTAAACACAATGCCTCATCTTCTCTTTCTTGGACTAAAATAAACTGTGCACTTTGTCCTCTTAGAGTGATGAAAAACGCTGCTGTGCTGTGAAGATGGAAATGATTTGCTCCTCTTCACACTCTGTGAGTGGCAGGCTGAATCCCAAACCTCCTCCTGGGTTTGTTTTCAGATGTGCCACATGTTTGGCTTCCTTTGATATTTGGCGAGCCCCCATACGTCTCTCTGATTTTCTGCTTTGGCTTAGCATGAGCGCTGAAGGAAGATGACATTTTGTCTCAAAGACGTCAGCATCGTCTCTGTGGCTCATCCTTTTTTCAGTCTGAGAGCTCCTTCCTTCCTTCTCTTACTCTCCCCCTCGCTCTTGTTTCCTTGCTTCCTCCAATCTGTGCTTGTTGTTCTTTTAATTTACCCTCCGTCTCATCATTTCCACCTGTTCTTCAAGGAGATGTGCCTTTGCCAATGTTTAATGTGCCCTTTCAAATGAAGATAATCGAGAATTCAGTAACACTCTTCGGTGATAATGGAACCGCACTGCCTCTGGGAAACTGATGAAAGAACATTTTGCTTTTGTTTAAACATTGACCAGCGTCGTTTCTTTTTCCTGGAATCAGCGCTGTGTGCTTTATGTGTTGCAAGTTCAATCATTCTCCAAATGAGATTTCCGTGTGATAATGGAACACCTACCGACACAAAATGACTGGCTCCATGAATATAAAGCTGTGGAGAGAAAATCTTATGCGTGTCGTAAGCCATCTCATTAAAAACCAAACCAGTTGCTTTAAAAAACGCTAAAGATAAGAACAGCAAAAATGGGCACTGTTACTTTTACATGCCATGATCTGTGACCACCATCTCTTGCTCTGAAACTGAACTCAGGGCTTGTGGTTAATTTGGTGATTCTTCGGGTTTTCTCTCTGTTATTGACACAGAACTTAAAGTTAATCCCTTAATTCCATAATCCCTGATGACTCCGATGTTTAAACTGCACCATGCACTGCCCATCTGCAAGCCACTTTGCAACCCACCTCGTCCCTCTGAAACACACTGAAGTAGAATACACGAGACAAGGTTGCAGGACTCTTCACGACGATAACGAAGATGATTAGTGTTGCGAGAGGGTGTACTTAATAATCAGGCCCCATGTTATCTTAATGACCTTATAGTACCATATCACTCCATTTGACCAAGGGGTGGCTGTAGCTCAGGCGGTAGAGCAGGTCATCTATTGATCGAAAGATTCGAGGTTCGATTCCTGGCTTCCCCTAGTCTGCATTAACCCCAAATTGCTCTCTGATGCATCCATCAGAGTATGAATGTGTGTGAATGTTACTTAGAAAGCACTTAGAACAATGTGCTTGTGTGAATGGGTGAATGCATAATGCAAGTTGTGTGAAGCGCTTTGAGTGCTCAGAAGAGTAGAAAAGTGCTATATGAGAACCAGTCCATTTACCATCACTTTGCTCTCACACTGCAGGCTTACTTGTTGTTCCTAGAGTATTTAAAAGTAGAATGGGAGGCAGAGCCTTCAGTTTTTAGGCCCCTCTTGTGTGGAACCAGCTTCCAGTTTGGATTCGGGAGACAGACAGTATTTCTACTTTTAAGATTAGACTTCCCTGACCACCCTGGCATCTTTCCTGCATGCGCCCTGCACATCAACAGCACAAGCTAAAGGGTCCACACAGTTCTATAAAATACAACACCAGTGGGTTTTGATGTGTTAGTATGTGATCAGCTGAGACAAGAATGTGTTAATAGTAAATAAGCTGGTGTGCTCACTCAAAGCAGCAGTAACAGGACATTTGTCACCCTCACCCTTCTCTTTCTTCTCATTCGACAGGACGAGCCCAAAGAAACTGCTGTCCTTTCTCATATCTTCTGCTCTCTCTGTTGTCTCATATCTCTTCGCCCACAAACTCCGACCTCATCAAAGACACTTCTTTGTCCCCCACCTCCCAGGTAAATTCACCTGTATCGAGGCTCGTTTCCACCTGGAGCGTCAGATGGGTTACTACCTGATCCAGATGTACATCCCCTCTCTGCTCATAGTCATATTGTCCTGGGTTTCCTTCTGGATCAACATGGACGCCGCGCCCGCCCGGGTGGGCCTGGGCATCACCACCGTGCTGACCATGACCACGCAGAGCTCCGGTTCAAGAGCGTCTCTGCCCAAGGTGAGGACAAATCACTCGTTATTGTAGTCTGCTTGGACTTCATGAACATACCTTATTTCTAATTCATTTATTCCTGGACTCTTAGAGAGCAGCTTTGCATGATTCACAGTTTAAAATAATCCTTTCTCAGTGCTTGTCTGAAACAAGCTGTTTTAGCTCCTCCCCCTTACAATGACCTTCCATCTGATTGTCTTCCCCTTCCATATGGAAGGTATTAACAGCAGGAGGGTGCAGCTTTTACACTCATAGCCAGGTGCCTGAGAATACAATAATATCATATAGACGTCATACAGAGGTACGAGTAGAAAGAAACTGTAACGCTTGAGGTTTTGGCTCATTATTGGAAACTGGAACAGCAGACAGGAAATAAGAAACAGCAGAACGGAGCCACTTTAAAGGTTTGTATTCCTTAACCCTGTAACATTTCACAGGGTTGTGTGATTTTTTGAGACCTCTGTGTCATTAATTTTTTTTTTCCTAAAAACTGCAAAAATACATAAAAATAATAATAAATAAAAACATTTTAAAAAAAACCCATAAAACTCCTATATCAAGAATTTTATTCATATGATAGCTTGTAATGATGACATACAAGAAAGCCGCAGGATAATCACAGAATTAGCTATTTTATGCCTTTTATGTTCCAGTCCAGTGTTTATAATAAGCTAATATTCTACTGCTTCTTCTTCAGTACTTAACTCTGTATAAAGACAGAAACAAAATCATCTTATTCCTGTGATGAACTTTCAGGTTTGAGCTGATACTTATTTTCACATCTGTTGACTTTTACCTTTACAGATATTGTTTTTCATCCGTCACACCCCCAAAAACACCAAAACAAAGTAAAATATGAAGCAATGGCAGGAAGAATTTGTATGCATGACGTGCCGTTTAATGACAGATGTCTTTTCATCCCTGTTGGAAGGAAGGCCTACAGCTTTTTCTGATAATTAAGGGACATAAATGACAGAGGCAGTGACAAAGACGATGTAGACAGAGAGGAATTAATTGAAGAAAAGTTGGAATGAAGGGAAAAGATAAATCAATGGGAGGGAAAGAAAAATTTCCTTTTCCCTGACAAATTAGAGACAGAGTGGAGGGAAGTCGAGAGGCAGACAGATGGAGGGATGAAAGAAGGAAGAATTTAAAAAAAGACCTTTAACAAAGAAGGTTCAAGGAGACAAAAATGGAGACAATATGTTTTAGAAAGCGAGAGGAATCTTTTACTGTCAGGGATTTTCAGATTAAAGTGAAAAAATGGTCAGGGTCTGCGTGAGCTAGTAGGATTGTATAATTACGTCCAGGAAAGCTGTAATCCCCAACACAAACACACACACACACACACACACACATATACACACTCTGTTGACATTAGGTGCTTCATGCGCTCTAAAAATTGAACAAGTGAACCATGATTCCTCTGCAGTTCAGCTGTCACAATAATGATCACACAGCACAGCTGAGCTTAGGTGGGCATGCTGCTCCCTCTCTCACACACACACACAGACACACAGTGTTCTGTGAGTGTTCTCACAGTGTTCTGTGTGCGATTGATAGCAGACACACACACACACACACATATGGCTCTCTTCAGATGTTTCTGCTGCAGCTTGTCAGATCAGAGCAGATGGAAGTGGACACGAGGCGAGATCTCTGCTCAGCTGATCATGCTGTCCATATACAGCACAGTACACACACAGTATGACTCTCTCCACGTCTACTTATCGTACCATTATTGGGACACATGTTGTTGTACCCTCTAAGCCCCAGCCACAGACCTGGGGCGGCTGCAGTTCACCTGTAGCAGTGGACTTTCAGAGAGGGGCTGACTTCACTGATTCAGATCAGGGCGCTCTCATCTCAGGGCTGCAGATCCTTTTTGTGAGAAAGTACAGACGTCGCAGAAATATGCAGACGTTTCCTTCGGTTCTGCTGCTGCCAGGATACAAACAGCGGCTATGAGCGTTACGGCCCCAACCGAAAGACAAGGAACCAGGAGAGGTGGGGTTGGCGTAAGCTTCTCAGCAAAACCGACTGCACGCCTCTGTCTCCACGTCTTCACTTTTATTTCCTTTGCCTTCTCTGCTCAGTTAGTTTTAAGCCCCTGAAAAATGTCTGATCAGGTTTAGGAACAGCTTGAATACATAATAACCCAGCGTGTTGTGACACGTGCGTTTAAATTTCTGAACAAGCATCCCTCTGTGGGGAGCCAGGACCAAGACCTCAGTACCAGGTTATGAAAACTTTGAGCCCCTTCTCTGACACATCAGGGATGATAACTGGCTGTGTGGAAACTACATCCTTCTTTAGTATTTATGATGATATTTCTTTTCTGTCTCTCAGTGAAGAAAGGATCGATGCATTGATCTTCTGACAGGGAGCTCAGTTGCGTGATGCTGCATGCATGAACAGCTGATGCCCCGTCAGAAACCTTCAGTCCAGTCGTGACTCGATGCTGAGGAAGCCCCTCTCAGAGTTCTCAGAGTGCTGCTGAGTCAGCAGAACTGTGCTGGAAATCTGAACAGGTGAAGGATGACTGCGGGGAGATCTGTTATTAATCCAAGTTTAATGTCAACTTTGGTGAAATTAAAAAAGAAGGATGGTCAGATTATCTTACATTACAGATTAGCACAGAAAAAAACATCATCTGTTCAGTACTGAAAGATGATCTTTCCATCCATCATTCCCACATTTTCCCGTTCCATGCACGTTGTATTCCACTAGCCCACTTCTCAGTTTGTCCTCTCATCCTGAAGACTTGATATGGAGCTTGCTGATCGGGCCACATATGAACCGGTATGCTTCAGTTATCTGTCGCTTTTATCAGGATGACGTTAGCCTGGGGACATTTTGTAGATGCGTGAAAGGATTGAAGCTCCAATCTGTTGTTCCCAAGTGTTCACACTAGACTATCCAGCTACTCTACTCACGTGCCCCAAACGATTTCCAAGCTACCCCATGCCTTGAATCCCTCTGTGAGTGGGTCACACAAAGACGGGTAGAAGCTAGGCGTCGCCTCCACCCACACGGGCTACGTCAGCAGTACGTCACTGTGCTGTGCTGACCACGTTCCTCTCTCACGCTGATGTCACAGCAATGGAGGGTGCTATCTGGGCCAAAACAACCATGTCTGATGCCTGAGTTTTAGGCTCCTGTGGATTATTCTTACACACATTTTTACCTCGTTATTTCAACCTGTGGAAACATTCAATGCAATATGATTATGGCAGAAAATAAGGGAAAATCCCCCCTCAGTATTCCAGACACTTGCTCAGTCTGTCAGCACTTTCAGCTCACGGCCCGCCACTACTTCTTCTTCTTCTTCTTTTTTGATCCTTGCCCTGTGAAGCATGAGTACAGTAACGCCGCCTAAGCTGCTCAGCAGGTCACTACTGCTCAGTTTGTCTGTCAGGAGCTTTCAGCCTCACACAGATCATACTGCAGCACCGAGCTAACAGTCGCCTGTGGACACAGTAAAAACACACGAGTCACTCTCAGGATGTAGAGCGTGAGTTTAGTGTGCTTCAGTCCTGCCAGATTTCATAGCTAAGCAGAGTCTGCGAGAGCTAATTTAAGAAATCTGTACCAGCAGCATAAGGAAAACTGTGGTCACTCATAACGCTTCATGTTGGCAGTAAAACAAAAACAGCATCAGGAAATAAAGTGTTGTCCAACAGTGTGGTGCAGACTCTCTCTCCATCTGCTTCATTTACCTCGCTTAATGCTCTGCCTTCCCAGAATCAGCACCAGAGAAGGCACTATTTTAGAGAAGGGTCATTCAAAAGCTTCTTTTACTTCTGGATCTGCCCAAGTTTATGAACATAACCATACAGTCCAAAATAAAGCAGCACAGGAACCAAAGCTGACCTCTAAAATCGTCCATGCTGATTTTATGAGTATGTATGAAAAGGTAACGTGTGTGCTGGGCAGGATTTGAAGATTGTTTCTACTGCTTCACACAAAGGAGGAAAAGCTTCTTTCAGTGTCTGTGAAATCATTTTTGTGGGAGAGTCATCCCCGTCTCTCTGGCTGGATGACCATCACCACTGAGCGTTGAGGCCTCTCGGCAGCTCGGGGAGGGAGTCGCTCAGGCGTTCGAAGATAAACGTTTTCATGAACGGCACAAACGAGCACGAATCACAGCGAGGTCGAACGGCGATGATAAGCACTCTGTGTTTGTGTAAAGTGATCCAAAGTCATAGTTTAATTGGATTTTAAACGGCTGATTGTGGGCTTCCTCTCTGCGAGACAGACCAGGTTCTCCCTCTCAGGCTGCACGCTGTAATTGCGTTTGGAGATGAAGAGTTGTAATGACAGGCCGGGCGAATGCACTCGAATAAAGGTACTTGGCGGGCAGATAGCAATCATACAATGATCCAACCAGACTTCATTTAGCCCGTGTTATCTGGACAGTCCTCGCCCTGGCCGTCTTGCTGTAATTTCACTGGTTCTGTGAGCTAGTTGGGCCCAGTGTTGTGTTTTATGTGCACCTGGCTGTGCATGCAGTCAGGTAAATTTAATAATGTAGTGAAAGCACCTTAACCTCGTAGTCTAAGCTCAAGACAGTGGAAATACCTTTACACGTATGCCTTTATTGCGATAAAGATACAGAGCATCACTCATTCCTGTGCACTCAGATATTGCAGACAAATGTATAAATGAGTACAGATTATCAGACCACTATGAAATTAAAGTATTTTAATGTATTTGGATGCTTAGATTATTTTACTTTTGCACACAGAAATCAAATTATTCCGCAAAAAACAAAAACTGCCAGGGTAATGATTACCCCTGAAGCTAACAGTCCATTTAGCTGGACAACAGCCTGCAGTCATCTACTGCAGTCTTCACTCCTCTCCTCAGTAATCCCAGCCTGTTCTTCTTGGGAGAACCTCTCGGGCTCAATGAAAAGGTCAGTTTTTCAGGAGCAATAATATTCACCCTATTCACTGTTGTTTTTTCTGAAATCATTCTGCTATTGTGTGCAAACTGGAAACATTTATGCTTTCTGAAGGAAACCAGTATGTTTATAAAATCCTTTTCCTCTGTTAAAAAGCACTTCGCCAAAATCTGCACATTTCATTGGGGAAACAGCTTATTTGGATTTTTAGGTCGTTTGTTTGAGTGACCAGGGGAAGCTCTATAAGAACGGCGTATTGCTTCAACAATAGCTTACACTGATCGGTAACACTTACTAAAGTCCCAGTGCCCTGCTGCCAGATAAAAACATACACCAACCATAACTTGACTGCCATAATTCAGTTCAGTTTTATTTATACAACGCCAAATATAAGCGACAACAACAGTCACCTCAAGGCGCTTTATCCTGTAAGGTAGACCCTACAATAATACATACAGAGAAAACCCCAACAATCATATGACCCCCTGTGAGCAAGCACTTTGGCAACAGTGGGAAGGAAAAACTCCCTTTTAACAGGAAGAAACCTCCGACAGAACAAGGCTCAGGGAGACGCGGGGCCATCTGCTGCGACCGGTTGGGGTGAGAGAAGGAAGACATGATAAAAGACATGCTGGGGAAGATAACTCTGAATATTAACGGCCCCACAAATTGTTGCAGTCTTTGATTTAACCTCCTAAGACCCGAAGTCTTCCGTGGCATGCCTTTTTAATTACTCTTTGATCTTTGGGCATATTGGGACCCGATGAATGTAAAAGCAAAGAATTACCTTTTTTTTTTTTTTTTTTACCTGATTTTTGTTTCTAAAAGAAATGAGATCCACATATGATAATATTTGTTTAAAATTTCGATAGAACAGTGGCAGTATATTGTCCTCGTAAGTGGATATTAGGCCGCTGTAGGGCAAGGTTTAGTATTTTGGTCTAGACAACCCAAAATGTAATGTCCACATATGTGGACGCCAGGTCCTAGGAGGTTAAATACACACTGTCACCCATCAGTCAGTGAACATCTGTTGTGAAACCTCGAGTTGAGGGGTGCAGCCAGCTGTGGTCACAGTCCAGTGATCATACCCTGGTTTATCTTTCTGTCCTAATAATGATTTTAACTTATCAAATTTACTGAAAGTAGCTGAGCTGAAAGTATGATAAAGTATGGCGAGTGTTTACTGAGATCAGGTTAGCAGTAGGCTCAGTTTCTGACTTTGATACAAGCAGAGGACACACGGGTTCACTTTTTCCTTTTCAGACTTTATGCATTAAAGTCTTTTTGGAGGGTAAATGAAACATTATAAAATAAAGTGGAAAAATTAGCAGAAAATACCAAATTTCAAACGAAGGGAGCGTCTCCTGAGATCTAAAACCACAGAGCTGAAAATAAAAAATAATGTATTTGTTTCCACATATATCATCTGATTTATGCACTCATTGTCAGTACAATGAGTGCATAAATCACACTTATCTGCATCAGTTACAGCAATAAATGTTCCTTTATGAACGCTTATTTTCATGTCGCAGGAGCATCATTTGGTGTAAATTGGTCATTTGAGAAAACATTTGGAGTTTAAAGTCATGAACTGAAAATGAAGCCGACTTTACAAACTTTCTCTAATCGACTGCCTCCAGCCTCAAACCAAACAGGGTGAAATGATCTTTAGATGCTCGTTAGATTTTATTAGGGTTTCTTTTTTTTATCAGCAAGTCAGACACGACGCACAGAGACCCTCTGACGGCCTCTTCTTTCCCATCTCCACTAACAGGTGTCGTACGTAAAAGCCATTGATATCTGGATGGCCGTCTGTCTGCTGTTTGTGTTCTCGGCCCTGCTCGAGTACGCCGCCGTCAACTTCATCGCCCGCCAGCACAAGGAGCTGCTGCGCTTCAGACGGAGGCGACGACACATGAAGGTGAGCCGCCTTGAGCGTCCATGGCACGGCCTCACCTTTAAATTCATGCATTTTTACATCTCCGCACCGAGTCTGTCCTTCATGCAGAACTCTGATGAGTTATATTCAAGACTTAGAATTTGTTCATATCACAGAGGTGTCTCTGAATAATCATAAAATTAATACGAATCATTTTGGGCTTCTGCTTTTTGCTCTTGACCTGATTTGGATTAACAGAAAGGGATCTTTGGAGAGGAAATATGAAACCAAAGTTGTTTTATTGATGGTCAGTTATTTCACCAGTCCCAGCACGAACCAAAGCACGAGAGAAACTAATATTTTAGATCTACAAATGTGCAGTTTTTACAGATAAAAATGGAAACTCACTTTCAACGCAAGAAAACAGTGTGTGTGTGTGTGCGTGTGTGCGTGTGCGTGTGCGTGTGTGTGTGTGTGTGTGAGAACATCAAAATCCCAGCTCTCCTCCATCCTCAGGCCTTCTGAAAAATTCACGGCGTGTTTGATATTAGCTTTTTCGCAGGCAACGCTCGTCATCACCGGGCAGAAACACAAAGCATCAATGTTTGATGGGCAGAGAGCCGAGAATGATTAAAGGCTGAGCCGCGGAGCAAACACAGACGAGGCTCATAATGGATCCACGCTGTAAAAGAGAAGAAAGCACACATTAAAAAAGAAACTCTGCTGAGCTCTCAAACTTTTGTTTGTGGAAATGCAGCAGTCAGAACAAACAGTGCCGAGTGTGCTGCAGGGTTTTTGTGTGTCTGTGACATCACGTGCTTTTCATCCAGGTAGCCTTGGAAAAATCATCCCAGCGTGTTTCATTGATTTCTGCTCAGATTAAACACGTGTGGTCAGTAATCAATCAGAAAACCACATCCTCTGCTTACAGATGTTCATATACAGATGTCCCATTAGTTAATCTGAAGAAAGTCAAACCTTTAACAAGTATGCTAACAAACATTACAGACATTTTTTTTATTTATTAAAACAGTAAGCCACGTAGAATAAACAAACTAGTGTTTATTTTTACGTCTGAGTATTAATCCATCCATTCGCAGCTTCCTGGTGTTGTTAAAAAATAAAATGTTGAGCTCTTGTAGGAAGTGACACGTATAAAATCTGCCCCAGGAGCTGGCTACAATTTGGGAGAGCCTGTGAAAAACATACAACACTGATTAGATGTTTTTATCACTAAGAGGTGGATAATCACATCAGCAGCCTTCGTCTTTCTTTGTTCTGACATCACTGTGAAGTCAAAAACAAATAACTCCCAAAACAGTCTCCATTTTTCATTAACTGTCAAACTGCCTAAAAACATCTCTTCTGATGAAACGAAGATAGAGTGGAGACCTGAAAATGTGTCGCTTTATTTAATTCCTCAACACTGTTTTTGGATATTTGGTTAAAATGACAACGCACAAAGTCAAATTTCCCCCGGAGGACAGTTCAGACGTATCAGAGCCTTTTTTTCTTCTTTGCCTTCTCTCTGCTACTTTCTTAGGTTAGCTTTTATCTTTGCAGCATTTAATCAATCAATCCTATATGTCCAGTTGGATTTATCAGCGCCCGGCTGCTGTATTGAATAAAGAGTAAAGCTGTCAGCCCTGCGGGGAGCTGAAGTGCTGCTTGACAGTGAAACTAGTGGTTTGTGTGGGTGAAGGGCAGGGAAATGCAAACGCCCACAAGAAATGCAACATCGTGCCTGCAGTAAACAATCCATACAGCACCCATTGTGTGTGTGAGAGAGAGATTGTATCGTTATAGCTGGTGAGCATGCATGAATGCATCCGTGGGGGCTGTCGTGCGTTTTGCTGTTGTAGGGCATGTGTTTGTGCTCGCTACTCCTGGAGCTGCCTGATTGAGTCTGACATGCTTTAGCGTGTGAGCATGTGGTCATGTATTTATGAGGACCTTGTGTCCTCGCGGGGTGACGGAGGTCCTGCCCAGTGAGGCCGTTGCGTTGTAGACATAAGAGCAAGATTAGACTGTCAGTTTCAGAATGAAGGTAATCACGATTTAGGCTGGACATGCAGAAAAAGGCGGGTTTAAGACGTTTGCATTAAAAAAAGTTAATGTTATTAGTGATCATTATTATTAATACTAAAGAGCCTTAATGCATGTTTTTGTGGGTCGGTTCAGTTTTATTTAAATACCACCAAATAACAACAATAGTCCCCTCAGTCGCCTTGTGCTGTAGAATAAAGGTCCTACAGTAATACAGAGAAAACCCAACAATCAGACGAACACCTATGAGCAAGTGCTCGGCAAAAGAGGGAAAGAAAATCTCCCTTTTAACAGGAAGAAACCTCCAGCAGAACCAGGCTCATGGAGGGGTGGCCATCTGCTGCGAAGGGTTGGTGGTGAGGGGATTCAATTCAATTCAGTTTTATTTATATAGCGCCAAATTACAACAACAGTTGCGTCAAGGCGATTTATATTGTAAGGTAGATCCTATAACAATACATACAGAGAAAAACCCAACAATAATATGACCCCCTATGAGGAATCAATTTGGGGTTCAGGGAGGGGCGCCCATCTGCTGTGAAGGGTTGGGGGTGAGGGGATGAGGACAGGACCTTGAAAAGATACCTGACCTGAACCGGGCCTGTTGTGTATTTCCTTGTTTTTTTTAATCATGTACCGACTGTTCTACAGGTTTCCAATGATAAATCTTCTGTTTGAGTCTACATCCCTAAAGTTTATCATTCTGATGAAAGTCTGCAGGGGTCATGTAAATCCATTAAAAACCATCATCGAGACCAGCACTCGTTTTTCCTGCAGATTTCTTAAAATAGACAGTGAGCTGCCGTGGTGGAGGTTTGGGCTCACTGCCTCTATCAGATTCCAAGAATAAGAACATGAAGCAGGAAATTACCATAATGTTTAACAAACATATGGAAACAGAGCTCTGAGGACTCTGACTGACCCACCTCTGCTCCAGGATCTCAGGCTGTAGTCAGAAGTCGGCCCAAAGTCAGAATGTAAAATCAGTGTAAGACCTTTCTTTGAGCGCACCTGAAAGTATGATGTCATCCCGTGATGTCACGCTTTCTACAAAAAAGCAAACAAATGTTTAACCCATAATCTCAGGAGCAAAAGTTCATATCATTCGACCTTCACGGAGGAGGATCGAGGGGGAGGGGGGGAGGGATTTTAGTGTGGCTTTCCAAACTCAGGAGGAAACTTCAGCATATATAAAAATGTCTGACCCACAAGCAAACAGCGGTATTCCCAAATGAACCCCACTAACGGAGTGTGATTGAATCCTCCCTCCACAGAAATCTCAGTCCACAAAGGCACCGTGAGGGAGAGAGAGAGGGATGGGAGGCCGGTCTGTGGGAATATAGAAAAATAATCCAAAATAAAATATATAAATCTTAAATCCCATTGTGGTAATCGCCAATCCCCCTGAGCAGCGATGGGAGGTGAAGAGGTAGATTAGCAGTCCGGCTGCCGCTGCACTTTCCAGGGAATCAGACACTCACCCCTCTCTCGGCCCTCGAGTCCACAGAGAGAGAGTGAAAGAGGACCGCAGGCTCAAGACTGACCCACATCTGCAACACCAAACCTTTTGCATACGTTTGTTTTATCTCACACTCTCTGTGTGGCCCTGCAATGGAAGCGGGGTGAATGTAGGCCACGTTATGCAATTTGAGCCTTGTACACGGCAGCCCGTCTGTCGGTCTTCCTGCCTTTACATCTGGCCATTCGGAATCCTTAATATTTATTTTAAGCTTGTATTACAAAATAGGTGAATTCATGTTCTGGTGTTCTTATATAACATCATTTGTTTTTCAGTTTTTGTGTCATGTTGTGTAGTCGGGTTTTTGTTGAGGTTGTCTGAGGTGACCCTTCAGTCACCAAAAATCCTCTAATGTCATTTAACAGTTGATGTCTCTGCAGCGAGCGCAGAGTTTTGTATTTTCTTATATAAAAAAGTGTTTATTACATTCATCACCAAGAAAATGTAAGAATCATAAAGTGGAGGGAAAAAATATGTTAGCATGTATCAGCCTGCTTAGAAAGTGGGCGACTATAAAGTTATCCATGCAATAGTCTCTTCTGCATTTTCACACCACAGCCAAAGGTTTAAATAAAGGAAGATTCATGTGGGAATAGGATACTGAAAAATATCAAAATTACAACAATTTCTATATTAAAAACAGAACTAGGCTGTTATTTTTAACTATTTTGGTGTCACTAATATTATAAACTACAGTAAATCAGCCTGTTTTAATTCAGTTTGCAAACATGTCATATTTGTTTAAACACATCACAAAGACTTTCTGCTGGAAGTCAGATTTAAAAAGTTTAAAAGTTTCATTTTTGGAGATATACGTCCAGAGTTAAAATGTTTCTCTGTGCTCACCTTTAATCCAAATCTTATATATTTTTCAAACAAAACTTTCTGAAAGAATTTTCATACACAGAAAGGTACCTGATTAATTGTAGACATATTACAGTATATGAAAAGTATGCAGGGACAATGAATATCTGAATAAATCAGTCAGTGCTTTATTCAGAGCTCAAAGCTTTAGTGACAAACGGCTTATTAAATACATCTGAACTGCTACCAAAGTAATGTTGGCGAGCTTTACAGAAAACAACTCCGGGATCAGTCAACTCATTTTGCGAGTACAGTAACCTGGGATACCACTGGTCGATATTTTCTGGATGTCCACCATCTATATTGTTTTAAACTCCATCCTGGAAGGATGAAGGTCAGCTCCTCCCAGATCTTGATCTCGTCTTATTGGCCTCTTGTTGAGTGGAGTCGGACCGAGCCAGCCAAACAGCCTGAACTCAGCGGCCTGAACTCGGTGGCCTGAATCCCACAGCCATAACCCAATGGCCTGAACCCGATTTCCCAAACCTGGAGACCTTAACCTGACAGCTTAACCAGCTTAACCTTAACCAGTGGCCTTAACCTGGCATCCTGAATCCGACAGACAGCCTGAACCCAGCGACCTGAACTGGGCAGCTTGAATTTTATGGTCTGA